ATTTTTATTTTTATTTTTATTTTTATTTTTATTTTTATTTTTATTTTTATTTTTATTATTTACTTTTATTTTTTTTATTTTATTTTATACTTTACTTTACTTTTTCTTTGTTTTATTTTATACTTTACTTTACTTTACTTTACTTTACTTTACTTTACTTTTACTTTTACTTTTACTTTTACTTTTACTTTTACTTTTTCCAAGAAAATACAGTCACACTTGCTCATATCTTGCCGGAAAAGAGGGTTGAGGAGGGGCTGAGGAAGAACAAAGGGGTGCTAAACCCATCATTTTATTATATTAGCTTCCTGCCAGGTTGGCTTCTACAGATAGAAAATCGACTTTATTTGAGAAAAAAAAAATCAGCATAAACTTGGCAGAATTGTTCCATGAATTTAATTCCGTTCCAGCTACTAGAGGGCACAGATATGAGTCATGGGGGAGGGGGTTCAGGGCTCTCTTAGAAAATGATCCGACGTTTAATCCAAGATAACCAGGTAGGGCTTAAAAAAACCCCTCCTGTGGCTGGCTTCGTCCATTGTGCTAAGCCATGATTTTAACTGTGGTTTGCAGAACAAGCCATGGTGGCTTGGTTCGTGCAGAACACAAAGCCATAAAAGCTAGTTTACCAATGACAGGAGCTGGGTTCTCATAGCACAGTAAACCAAATATGATGGTTAGCGTGACGCTGGGACCCATTATTGGCCTGTGTTCTAGACTTGAGAGAACACAGTGGTCTCATTTAAAAAAAGCTGCCCTTTTTTATTTTATTGATTTTATTGTAATTTCTTTGTCGGATTATCGGGAGCCACCCAGAGTTGTGCGACCTACAAGTTTAGTAAATTAACCATAAACTTAGATAATGTCTTTTCTCTAATCAAAGAGGTCAATTTGGCCGTCTCTGCAAGTTCCATCATCTTCACTGTCCGTTCCTCCGTGGTGGGTAATGTCGGATCTTTCCACCTCTGCGCGTACAGATAGACAGCTCCCGAACCTGAAGGTTCCATTAAAAATCCCAGCTCGTTTCCATATACATAGGCACAGGGACATGTATCTTTTAATATGCCTCATAGACGTACACGCAGAATGGCTTCCGGCCAGATGACGATCAATCACGAATTTTGGTTGGAAAGTAAATGTTCGTTGTAAATTATTATTTGATCGAGGAAAGATTTGATTGGCCTTGAGATGGCGAGTTACGGTTCTCTGCATCTCGCTGGCTTCGGTGGGTGGGCGGTGGAGTTAGCCACATTCAGATGACCAAGGATCTCCCCAATCTTGGTTTAGAGGTATCACATCTTAGTAAGTCCAAACTTGCTGAGATTTTTTTGAAAGCAAAATATTTTGTTTCTGAGGTTTCTGTTGCCCTGCCTCTGTGTGTCTGTCCATCCATATCTATCGATTGATTGATTGATTGATAGATGATTGATAATCTGTCTGTCTGTCTGTCTGTCTGTCTGTC